TAGCTTTGGCTATTTCAATCGTTTGCACGCAACTACACGAACAGCTGCTTGTATGTGTGTGTGTGTGTATTTATACTTAGTTGTTCCCAACTGTTTGATATTTTGTATTGTTTGGTCTCCCTGCATTTGTAAAATGCATATTTTGAAAATCCTTGAGCGCAAAGTTGTAGAATTAGTTACGTAGGTTACAGTCCCCAAATTTGAAATCGATCGGAAAAAATTTATAACACAAACTTTTCGTTTGAAAAGGTGAATAAATATTAAAACCCCAATAATTCAAGCTCCACCAGAAATTTCGAAAATCCGAGTATGCAGTTTTGTTCTTTTATAGATTATAAAAATCAAATTTGATCGGTGCAGAAATGCAGAATTTTCAAATAAACTTTGGAGCTCGTTTTCCCCCTTTGGAGCTTGAATTTTCCAAAAACCCTTCTTAGTGGGCACCTTCACTATGATAGGATCATTGAGCCCGAATTTCAGCTTCATAGCTCTTGCCGTTTAAGCTGTACGTTGATCACCAATCAGTCAATCAGAACAAACTGTTTTATATGTATAGAGATGTGTACAGTACAGAAATAAATTCACGCAGCAATAACAATAACAACAACAGCTGCGGGCAGCACTGCCGGCAGAGCTGCAGGCAGCGCATGAGCAGCGATTTTATTTATGGCCATAACTTTCTTCACAATTACCTATCATGATGAAACTTGCCACACGGACACATTAGTACTAACTGGATGTACCTACCAAAATTGATTTCAAGAATTACGAAAGTTATAAAAAAAAACACGAATTGCGGGGGAGTGGGGTTGTATCAGAATAAAAAAAACAAAACTTGACCTGCCTAGGGCTTATGGGAATCTGGATACTGAGTTTGGTTATTCTAGCTCTTGTACCTTCTGAGATCCTTGCGCTCATACAGGCGGACGGACGGACATGGCTATATCGACTCGGCTTGTCACCCTGATCAATAATATATATACTTTGTGAGGTCTGCCACGCCTCCTTCTGTGTGTTACATACATTCGCACAAAACTAGTATAGCCTTTTACCCTTTGGGTACAGGCTATAAAAAGATAAGAATTAAGTATTTATACAGATAAATGATATACTCGTACAATTAAATAAATTTACAATTTCAGAATTGCGTATCAATTTATTGTGAAGGCTCCGCAGAAGACAAGTTGCGCATAGCTCTGCAGCTGTCCAAGAAGGACAGAAGAAAACAAGATAGAACGCTACAGTCGAGCAAGCCCGACAGTAAAATAGCCTGTACTCTCCACAAAAAGGAAAAATTAAAAAAAAAAAATATGTAAAAAAAATTAAATTATTTAAAAAAATGAATGAATTAATTAAAATAATTAATTAAATTAAATTAGAATACATGTTTATGTTCAGTTTAAACAGCATACATTTACATCACGTACCTATGCGTTTTTATAGCCGTGTATGTATGTAGCACAAAGTTGAACAAAAGCAGCAACAACAACAACAGCTGCGGGCAGCGCTGCCGACAGAGCTGCGGGCAGCGCTGCCGACAGAGCTGCAGGCAGCGCATGAGCAGCGATTTTACTTATGGCTATAACTTTCTTCAGAATTGACCTATCATGATGGCACACGGACACATTAGTACTAACTGGATGTACCTACCAAAATTGATTTTAAAATTCCGAGAATTACGGAAGTTATAAGAAAAAATACGAATTGCGGGGGAGTGGGGGGGGTGTATCAGAAAAAATAAACAAACTCGTTCTGCCTAGGGCTTATAGGAACCTTGATACCAATTTTGGTTATCCTAGCACTTGTACTTACTGAGATCCTTGCGCTCATACAGACAGACGGACAGACGGACATGGCTATATCGACTCGTCTTCTCATCCTGATCAAGAATATATATACTTTGTGGGGTCTGCCACGCCTCCTTCTGTGTGTTACATACATGCGCACAAAACTAGTATAGCCTTTCACCCTTTGGGTACAGGCTATAAAAAATAAAGAATTAACATAAATGTTAATATTTTCAAATATTAGTTTAATGTATTAATATGTATCCAATAAATTATAATGAATTAATTTTTATTTGTATATTGATTTTTCTGTCTGGCAGAGGGGTAGTCACGGACCGGTCCAAAACTAGTCCAAAAACGGACCGGTCCATGGAGTAGTCCACTCGTTATAAAAGGGACCGGTCCATTTACCAGTCCGATGTTGGAGAGACGGGGACGGCGAAGGGACGCATGGCATGAAGTTTGGTCTAGTGGTGGTGCGCGGCGGGCCGGTATTTGCACCGGTTTTGACCGGTATGCCGTACTGCTGGGGAATTAAATCTAAGCAGAAACGATAACAACAGCTTTGGGCAGAACATAGTCAGAGATTACATATGTATATGACTATAAATTTCTTCATAATTGACCTATCATGATGAAACTTAACATACGGACACAATCACTAATCGGAGGTAGTTACCAAATTTGAGTACACAATTCCAAGAATTCCATGTTATGGAAAACACTAATTTCGTGGTAGTGGGGGGTGTATTAGAAACAAGAAAGGAATGCTAAAGTCGATCAGGCTCAACTCTTAAATACCCTGTACCACCCCACAAAAAAGTAATTAATTTAATTAAATTAATTAACTAAATTAATTTAATTAATTAACTAAATATTAACTAATTAAATATAAAATATTCCATGCATGCATACATACATTTACATCAGAATCGTGCCTTATGCGTGTTTGTGTACTTGTACATATGTATGTATGTGTGCATTGGGCCTGGTTATATGGCTATAACTTTCTTTCCGATCATTCTATCATAATGAAACTTGGTATACGGATATATAACCTAACCTAACCTAATGTGACTACCAAATTTTAGTTCAAAATTCCAAGAATTACGGGAGTTATAGAAAATCGTTAATAGGGGGGGAGTGGGGGGGTGCATCAGAAAAAATGAACAAACTCGTCCTTTCTCGGTCTCAGGAGAATCTGTATACCAAGTTTGGTTATTCTAGCTCTTATACTTTCGGAGGTCCTTGCGTTCATACAGACAGACGGACAGACAGACGGACAGACAGACGGACATGGCTATATCGACTCGGCTTGTCATGCTGATCAAGAATTGTATATACTTTGTGGGGTCTACCAAGCCTCCTTCTGTTTGTTCCATGTGCACTCGCAGAAAACTAATATACCCTTGTACCCTTTGGGTACACATGGATGACAATGCTCCATCCAAAAAATTATTCAATTCGGAATCTGTTGGGGACGACGCAGAAAAGGGCGACCGTGTCTGCGATTGAAAGACCAAGCTATGCAGGACCTAAGTAGTTTTGGTGAGACCACTTAGCGACAGCAGGCACAAGACAGAACACGCTGGTGAGTAGCAATCAACAAGGCCTAAATTGACATCCAATTGCAATGGCCACAAAAGAAAAAGAAAGATTTTTATATCTCTGGGGATTCAGGGTAACCTGAATATCAAAATTGGGTTTTCTACCTCTTGTACTACTAAACTGTATACTCAAAAAACCTAATTTTATAACGCTTCTCTTCCCGTTCGTCATTTTCTGTTGCGGACGGATTAAATAATGGAAACAATCAGGAATACTTCAATTTTTAAAATTTTAATTTACATTAAACGCTAGACAGTAAAATTTTATTTTGTTCAGCCATTGCAAAAAAAAAAAAAAAAAAGAATTGATTACACTTATCTCTAGGTGGTTCGAAAAAAAATTATATAAAATTAAGCTGAGTTTAAGTTGTTGGTCTACAAAATAAGCCATATGCCACTTACAGTTCTACACATTGCTTTATAGCCTATATATAGCGTATCAATAATAATTGCTTCTTAAAAATATGCGCATAGTTTGAATAAAAAATAAACCTATTCGTATTATGTAATAAGGTGTACATGTATTGTAAGAGAAGGCTTATTTAATAATTAAAATATTCGTTTAGCATGCTTCGAATGCTGTTGAATTGCATATCAAATACTAACCACAATATTTAATTTTATATATGTATATATATATTTTTATACAATGTATATGTTGCATGTGTGTTTGTATACATGTTTGTGAGTTTTTTTTTATCTGGAAAAATTGAATTGATGTTTTTTCTACGACAACTTTTAACTCTTAAATCTTTTAATAGTAATTCTTTGTTTTACACTTAGCTACCGATCGCTTTTTATCATCGGATGTAAAACGGCTTCATTAATAATAAGTATTTAAATATTACAGGTATTATTATCTACGCGAAATTTTACATTAAATGGGTCAATGTACAATTGGTCATGTGAAATATGTATGTCCAGTTACTCATTTTGTATACAACTCCATATACACTTCTTTATATATGGTATATTTATACGTCCGAAAGGGTATTGTTCCGGTGGTTCAAAGTACATGCGACATATGCTGTTCATACTCTGTTCATGAAATGTAAAAGAGTATATTAGGTTTGCAGGAGGTGAAAAATGAAGGATGCGTGGCAGACCCCACAAAGTATATATATTCTCGATCAGCAATGACGAGTCGATCTAGCCCTGTCTGTCCGTATATCTGGATCTTAGAGACTATAAGAGCTAGACACCAAATTTTGCACAATGATGCCTTATGTGTGTGCGACATACGAGTTTGTTTAATTTTTTTTTTATCACCTCCCACTTCCACGCTGTGGGGGATTTCCCCGATTTTCCGTTCGTATAATCACGTATATCTCGGACACCAAATTTTAGTCCAAGATACCATATGTGAATATGATGAAAATGTAAATTGTGGAATTTCCCCTCCTCCCCCGCAATCAGTGATTTTTCATAACTATCGTATTTCATGGAATTTTTGACTCAAATTTGGCAAATACCGTTAGTGATTATACGTCAGTGTGCCAAGTTTCATTATGATAGGCCGATTTAACAGAAAGTTATAGCCATATATATAATGTACGGCCAATCACTGCCCGCAGCTGTTGCTGCTGCTTTGCACAGGCACACGACACATACACACACACAGAGACATGCATTTTTATTCAACACATATACAGAGTATTTCAAAGTCGGGACTCTCGACCTTAGCTTCTCCACTTGTTTTCAATATTGATTTAAATAAAGGTGTTTTTATACACTCGTTTTGGTACTTGGATTATATATGACGAGGATCCACTATTTCTCACTAGCTCTGAACACATTAACTTTATACATATATAATCATAATCAGTTGTAGTAAACATTCACCATAGCGAAAGTGGACTGTATGGCATGGGTGAGAATTAGATAATGCGAGGACACCTAGACTTGTCAGGTTTGGCTTGGGGCCACATTATTTAAGTATCCGATCGATGCGTATTGGTATCAAAAAATTCTCAACATCAAACAAGTCTAGTGGGAGGTAGGTAGACCCCATATCCGAAAATGTAACCGGTGAAGAAGATGCCGAACAAAAGTGCCAAGGCGACCTGCCCTCACGTGTAGCCAGGGGCGTTAAAGGTGCCGGTGGAGTGATAGAATGTGTGGAAGAGAGCGGGCGATTGCTCGAGTGTGATGTAGGCGGAGTAGTTGTAACAGAATCAATTTGGATATTTGCGTCCAAGTGAATTTTTCGGTCAAATTGGGACTATTGTGTAGTACCAATATCTTTATTCTCGGTTGCGGCCGCGACGGGAGGTAGTACGTTAACCTCCTTTATTGATTCCACTTTGGCAACGATCTTCAGAGCCGGTCCCAATTTCATTCCCATTGCGTTAACCAAATGATTCTCCTTAAGCAACAATAGCGCTTGTCCATCAATCTCCTGCTGTTCAAAGTCGTCCACGTAGTCCTGGCAGCCAGGCAGATTGCGTATAAAATCACACACTTCGCCGACGCTCCAGCTGCATATTGGAGGTCGCTCAATATTGGCATTACTAGCAATTGTAGCAATGGGTGTGGCATTTGTATGTGAATGTGCTCCGGGTTGTTCCGAAAGAACAGCCAACGCGGGCATCTCTGGCAACATCGCTGCTGCCGTGGTAGCCACCGTAGTTACCATTGACATAGTGTCTGTTTGCATCTTCTCCTCGGCCATCACCTCATCAAGTTTATCAACCAAGGCCTGGGCATCAGCTGCTACAATGCCGCCCGAATCGTTACCATTGGCATTGCATTGCTGGCCACTAGCAGTGTGTGCGCCCGTCTTTGCTAGGCGTACACAAGCCGGGGAGCAATAACGTTTACGCTTCAGCTTGACCTTATGCTCCAGCTTGCCGCATTGCTCGCAAGCTACCATATCTGATGACAATACAATGGAGGCAGCGACAGATGCCGCAGGCATGACGCTGGGCTTTATATCCTCTTGCATCGCAACCTTTTTCTCTGCAGGATTAGAGTGTATGTTAGTGTGACTTTGAACAACCTTTGGTCCTGGAGCATACTCACTTGGCGGCTCATCATTGTCCTTTCCCTTATCAGTGTAGCGTTGTCTCGTCACGGGGAAAGGTTCGTTGGCCTCCTGTATAATGAAGCCATCTATGACATGGGTCAGCACATTGGGCTTAATCATGGCCTTTGGCAAATCTTTCCCACTAGCATTGGCACCACTTCCACCACTGCTGCTGCCATTCGTGCTGCTCATGTTAGTGCTACTGCCGCTTGTTGTTGAAGTTGTAGCGATACTACCCCCACCGCAGCTGGTGGTCGTTGTGATGGACCGCAAAGCTGCTATGCCATTGGTGGCTGCTGTGCTGGTGACGGTTCCAGTAGTTGACGTGATGCTTCCGCTGCTGTTGCTCTTGGTAGGGCATTCATCTTTGCCGCTGCTGCTGGTCGGTAGTACAAAATTGCTCTGCTTCTGCTCAGCAAGCTTGCTCGGCGTCGTTGCCTGCGTAGCACTAGTGGATCCTGTCATTACCGGGGCTCCTGCCGTTGCTGTTGATTTGGTGGGCGTGGTGGTGATACTAAGCGAATCGGCCAACTCTCCATTTAAAGCACTAACCTCTGCTACAGTACTAGTAGAGCTACTGGCCTCCACGGCGCTGACCAACGGCAAAGGCGACTCGATGGGTAGCAGCACCGTTGGCTGTGAAGTAGGCGTTTTGATTGTCTGAAGCTCGTGCAACGCTACTTTGGTGGGCGTTGCTGGCAAAGAATTACTATTTCCGTTATTGTTGCTGCTGCTGTTTATTGGCATTGGCACGCTTATCGACACAGTGGTTGCACTGTTGGCCGTACTGCTTACAGGGACTGTAATGTGGCCTACAGTTGCATTCATCATAGACGTCATGGCCAGTATGGGATTCGGTGTGGTCGATGTGGCGGTTAGAGTAGGCGCGTTCGTATGTGTGCTCATTGTTGTGTTAGTGTTTACCAGGTGTTGTTGTTGCTGCTGTGAAGCAGCTGCAATTGTGGCAGCTATGATATTCTGCTGCTGCTGCTGTTGCTGCTGCTGTTGCTGATGTTGAAGACTGGCCACCGTACTGCTAGTAACAAGCGGCCCTGTTGTGTGATTCGATATGGTCACTACTGATGTGCTCGGCATCGAGCTAGTCGTCTTGGCCGACTGAAACACAGAACCAGGAGCAGAGAGCGCTGCTTGAAGTGCACTAGATGTAGCAATGCCACCCGGTGTTGTCGTTGAGCTCACAGAAAAGGGAACGCTGGAAAGTTGGTGTTGTGCTGCCTGCAATTGCAGCTGCGATTGCTGCTGCTGCTGAGGCGTCGCCGCAGCTGTCTGCTGCACCATAATCTGTTGAATGATATTTTGTTGCTGCTGCTGTTGTTGCTCGCGTTGCTGCTGCTGATGAGCCTGTTGCTGCTGCTGAGCCTGCTGCTGCTGCTGAGCCTGTTGTTGCTGCTGTTGAGCCTGTTGCTGAAGCTGCTGCTGCAATAGCTGGTTATGCAACTGCTGCTGCTGAGCTTGTTGCTGCTGTGATGTAAGGAACGTTTGCGGTGATACCTGCAATATTTGTTGCGCTGCAGTGGCTGCAGCCACCGCTTGCTGCTGATGTGGTTGTTGTTGCTGCTGTTGTTGCTGCTGCTGATGTTGTTGTATCTGTATGGCGAATTGCTGCTGAAGCATTTGTTGCTGCAAGAATTGCTTCTGCATTAGTTGTATCTGCTGTTGCTGCTGTTTATCCACACTGGTGGCAGTTGCCGTTTGAATAGTCTGCCCATTTTGCAACGTTATAGGTGTACCCGAGGTACTCATGACAACCATTCTAACAAAAGAGAGATGGAGAGATAGATAGTAAGTTGTGCTTGCCTCGACTTTCAGATGCAATTACTCACTTATTGCCTGCTGTAGTGACCACTTGATGCAGATTGGCTTGTTGTTGTTGCTGCTGTTGCTGAACAGCCAAGTGAGCGAGTCCGGTCGCATTATTCACCTGTCCCTTTGACTGCGCTTGTCCATTCTCGGCCTTGAGCGCCGGGAGAGCAGGTCGGACTGGCTGCTGTTTGTTGCGCATCTTTGCCTTTAGAAGGCTCTGGTTCTGTGCCGTTTGCGTCGAAACGGAGCTAGCAGGTCGAACCTGAGCACCGTTGTGGGGCAAAATGGGCGGCCCAGGCCGTTGGGCCACTACAGGCGCAGTTGTCAGCTGTTGTGCCTGTTGCTGATGTAATTGCTGTTGAGTAGTCAGCTGCTGCTGTTGCATTGTCGCTTGTGTCTGCTTGGGTGCTAATGCTTCCAACTGGGATCGTGGCTTGGTGGGAGTCTGCGTTACATTGCACTGAATGATCTCTGCAAGAGTTGATATAATCACGCTGTGTTCTAGCCAGCTGGTCAACTACTGCCTACTGGAATACTTACGATTCTGCTGTGCCTGGAGCGCCTGGTGTGTTGTCGGCTGTTGTATAAACATGCCCGAGGTACCGTCCGGCTGATTACGTAAAATAATGGGGCCGGCACCAAAGTGCTGCAGACCGTTCTGCCAGAACCAAGGCCCGATCTGCATCTGCTGCGGCTGTCCGGCGGCACTCTGCAGCGGGTTGAGTAGTTGCGCTTGAGTCGTACCACCACCGGGCAGCGAAGACTGTGATACCTGGACACATTGCTGCGTGGTCGTCTGCTGTTGTTGCTGCTGCTGCTGCTGGTTAACGCTTCCGCCGCCACTTGCTGCCTGCACCGTATTGGTGGTGGTTGTCACCTTTTGCACAACCTTCTGCTGTAGTTTGCCTTGCGTATCGGCGGCGCTGCCTGATCCAGATACTTTTGAAGCGGCAGTAGCAGCTGCCAGAGCTGCAGCTGCCTGTTGTTGTGCCGCGGCAGCCACCACTTGCTGCTGCTGAGCTTGTTGCTGTTGTTGCTGGACCATGGACTGTAGCAGGCTCTGCTGCTGCGGTGAGTGGGAGATGACGTTGACGGGCGAAATGAGCAACGTTTGTGGCGACTGACTGGATGGAATGGCGTAGGTGCCGCTGGGGAACCCTGCCTGACCACCAATCATTTGCTTAGCATTCTGTGTGGTTGTCGTGATCATTTGCGGCGCGCTTCCCTGAAACGGCTTGCTAGCAGCAATCACCTGTATGGGTTGTTGGCCCAGACCGGCTGGCAATATATTTCCCGATACAATCATTTGAGGGTGGTAGAGAAAGCCGGGCGAGGGCTGCATTAATTGCACTGTTCGTCCAGGTGCCCAATCGGCAGGAACACCTCCAGCCGCCAGCTGCATTGGTGACATGGTACTGATGCCTGTTGAGTGTTGCTGTTGCATGGCAGCGACAGCTGCGCTACTGGACGTTTGCTGAGTATTGGCTGGGCTAGCGGTGCCGGCTGACACTGCTCCTCCGTCGCCAGCCCCTGCCGTCAGCTGCTGCAGCTGCATTTGCTGTAATTGGGTCGTCTGACTGGCATCCAGAATACCAGCAGCGTGTTTAAGTTCCGTTGTCGTCGCCGCACTTGTCGTGTGTGTAGGGAACTCCTGTTTTACCTGTATAGCCGCATATGGATTGCTCGCGTAAAATTGCTGCAACTGTTCCTGTGAGATCTGCAGGGGCACCGCAGTGGCGGCTGCCACCTGTTGGGCGGGGCTCTGTGATTTCTCCAGTGTGAAGCCGATGCCTTTGGGCGAATTGGAGTTAGTTGGAGTGCTTAAATTTGAATTGGAAATAGAGTTGGTGTTGGCGTTGATGGTAGAGTTAGAAATGGTGGAGAAGCTGAGCAAGTTTTGGAGTTGGCGTCGCGATGAAGGCGGTGTACCAACTACAAAAGTGTTGGTGTTGATATTATTATTATTACTACTGTTGCGGAAATTGCTGTTTGGCGTAGGGGCTCCAATACCTGGATGCGGTGGACTGGCAAAGTCGTACTTCTCGTCAAATGTAATACCTGCCTTCTGGGCAAGTGTCTCCAAACACTTTAAGGGCCTCTCGTTACCAGGTTGCTGCTGCTTTTGCAGTTGCGGTTGTGACTGAAGCTGTTGTTGTTGCTGTTGGTGGTGATGGTGCGAAGATAGCTGTGACTTCTCGCTACGTATATTTGAGTTGTCCTTCAGCGGTTGCGTCGTGCCAACATGGTGACTGTTGTAAGTGGTCGTTGCTGTTGATGTTGAGCTTGCTGCTGCCGATGGTATTATTGAGTCTGAATCGCTTTCAATGTCCGTTCTGTTAAATACGCATAGAGATTCAGAAAGATGGTAAGCAACATGTTATAAATATACATACGAATATATATGTACATATACAAAGTTTTCCAATATAATATAATAGACGAATACAACTACAAGCAAATGCAAAACATCGTCATACCCACACACTTGGCGCTGTTGCATGCAATTTTATGCAGGTTCTTTTACATTCCTATTTAATAACAAGTAAAATAGCTAAAATCTGGTGTCCCGACTTTAAAATACTCTGTACATATGTTTAGAATAATTATAGAAATTAAAAGAAGAGAATTAACAAAAAAAATGTTAATCGATTTTACCTCTTTAGGTGTATAATTACACATATACAAAGCAATTGCGTCTATGTGAGTGTATGTATGTTTATGCTCGTATATTAGTGTATGTGTAAGCATGTTCGCAGTCAACCAAAGCACCAGCATCAACAACAGCCGCGGGCAGCAGCAAATATATTTATGGCTATAACTTCTTGTTAAATCAGTCTATCATTATGAAACTTGGCATACGGACACAAATTTACTAACTGGGGGCAATTTTAGTTCGAAATTCCAAGAATTACGGGAGTTAGAGGAAATCGCGATTTGGAAAGTCGGGAAAACCCCCATAGGGGGGGAAAATAAAAAAAATTAAAACAAATTTGCACAGCGTACACACATAACGCATTTTGTGCCAAGTTTGGTGTCTCTACCTCTTATAGTCTCTGAGATCCAGGTGTTCATACGGACAGACGGACAGACAGATAGACAGACAGGCATAGATCGACTCGTCTTGTCACGCTGATCAAGAATATATATACTTTGTGGGGTCTGCCACGTCTCCTTCTGCCTGTTACATTTTTCAGTTCGCGCAAACCTATTATACACCTGTACATTTCATGTACAGAGTATAATTACATTAATAAATTAAAATAAATAAAAAACAAGTAAAAAAGCTAAATTCGGGTGTCCCGACTTTGAAATACTCTGTACATGTGCTTAGAATAATTATAGATATTAAAAAAAGCAAGGGAATTAAAAAACAAGTAAAAAAGCTAAAGTCGAGTGTCTCGGGTTTGAAATACTCTGTACATATGTTTAGAATAATTATAGAAAATAAAAACAAGATAGAACGCTACAGTCGAGCAAGCCCGACAGTAAAATAGCCTGTACTCTCCACAAAAAAAGAAAAATTAAAAAAAAAAAAATTAAATTATTAAAAAAAATTAATGAATTAATTAATTAAATTAAATTAGAATATATGTTTATGTTTAGTTTTAACAGCATACATTTACATCACGTACCTATGCGTGTTTATATGCGTGTATGTATGCAGCACAAAGTTGAACCAAAGCAGCAACAACAACAACAGCTGCGGGCAGCGATGCCGACAGAGGCAGCGCATGAGCAGCGATTTTACTTATGGCTATAACTTTCTTCAGAATTGACCTATCATGATGAAATTTGGCACACGGACACATTAGTACTAACTGGATGTACCTACCAAAATTGATTTCAAAATTCCGAGAATTACGGAAGTTATAAGAAAAAACACGAATTGCGGGGGAGTGGGGGGGTGCATCGAAAAAAAACTCAAACTCGTACTTTCTCGGTCTTAGGAGAATATGGAAACCAAGTTTGGTTATTCTAGCTCTTATACTTTCTGAGATCCTTGCGTTCATACGGACAGACGGACAGACAGACGGACAGACGGACAGACGGACGGACGGACAAGGCTATATCGACTCGGCTTCTCATCCTGATCAAGAATATATATACTTTGTGGGGTCTGCCACGCCTCCTTCTGTGTGTTACATACATGCGCACAAAACTAGTATAGCCTTTCACCCTTTGGGTACAGGCTATAAAAATTAAGAAAATAAAAAAAAATTCAATGATCGATTTTACCTTTCTCGGTATTCGAACTCACGTAAAGGGTGTATAATTGCACATTTACATAGCAATTGTGTCTGTGTGAGTGTATGTATGCCTATGTGCATCTATTCGTGTCTGTGTAAGCATTTTCGCAGTCAACCAAACAGCAACATCAACAACAGCCGCGGGCAGCGCTTGAGCAGCGCTGCAGCAGCAAATATATTTACTTCTTCTTAAATCGGTCTATCATGATGAAACTTGGCATACGGACATATAATTACTAACTGGGGGTATTTGCAAAATTTTAGTTCGAAATTCCAAGAATTACGGGAGTTAGAGAAAATCCCGATTTGCGGAGGAGAGGGAGGAGGGAGGGAAATTCCAAAATACACATTCTGCGTATTCACAAAACGCATCTTGGACATTTGATGTTCCTACGTCTTATAGTCTCCGAGATATAGGCGATTATACGAATGGAAAATCGGAAAAACCCCCATAGGGGGGAAGTGGGGGGAAATCAAAAAATAAAACAAACTCGTATAGAATACACACATAAGGCATCTTTGTGCAAAATTTGGTGTCTCTATCTCTTATAGTCTCTGAGATCCAGGTATACGGACAGACAGGGCTAGATCGGCTCGTCATTGCTGATCGAGAATATATATACTTTGTGGGGTCTGCCACGCATCCTTCTGCCTGTTACATTTTTCACAAACCTAATATACTCTTTCACATTTCATGTACAGAGTATAAAAATCGTAAGATTCGTTTCGAAAATGCTTATAAATATAAAGAAAAGGACTCAGATTTTTGGAAAAAAGTTTTTTTTTACCGACGAATCAATATTTAGAGTATTCGGAAGTAATGGAAGAACTAAAGTTTAGCGAAAGGGTAACGCATTGGAACCTAATCATTTGTTCGTTGCAGCCCAACATGGCGGAGGTAATGTCATGGTCTGGAGAGCTGTTGCTATGCTTGGAGTAGGAAATTTTGTTTTTACCAAGGGAAATATAGATCGATTTGACTTTAAGGATATATTGCAACAAAATTTAAATGAAATGGTCGATGATTGTTCAAACAGGACATAAACCCAGAACGTTCAGATTACGTTGTCAGGGATTGGTTGCTCTACAACGCACCACGCCAATTGAATATTCCACCGTAAACACCGGATTTGAACACAGTGCGTGAAACCTAAAGAAAGGGCTTCAGTCTGCTTGACCTACCTAGGGCTTATGTACCAAATTTGGTAATTCCAGCTCTTGTAGCTTCTGAGATCCTTGCGCTCGTCCAGACGGACGGACATGGCTATATCGACCCCGGTTGTCACCCTGATCAAAAATATATACATACATACATATGTATGTATGTATACTATGTAAGGTGTGCTACGCCTCCTGCCTGTTAAATGCATTCGCAAAAAACTAGTATACCCTCTCACTGTTTGCGTACAGGATATAATATTGAATAGCTCCGTATATTCTAATCAAAACACTATTAAATTGAGTGTGTATACATATGTATGTCTATGTGTATTAATTTGTGAATTAGCAGACGTGCGAGCGAAAGACGATTCACATGAAACCATATTTTGACAGAAAGCTGTTGGATCTGGTGGGAGTTTAGTTCGGCAACTAGAAAAAACAATTGAAAATAAATGGTATGGTGGCAAACATATGTACATATGTATATACATACATATATGCTAAGAACAGGGGGATAAACATACATACGTAGATATGTATGTGTGTATTGATTATAGGAACATTACATTTTGTTTCTTTTTTGTGCATACTAGCCGGCCAACGTACAATTACAACTCAGAATGAATGATACTCACAGATTCCATGTACACTGAGTGAGAACACTGATGTGTTATTGCCTTTTTATCGAGCGAGTAAGCAGGATGCCTACTGAGCTAAACAGCGCGCGCAACTCACACATGGATACAATGTTGAGCCAAAAGTAAAAGAGCGTACCAGTAAATGAGGGTATGTGTAGAGTTGTCGAAATAACGAACATCATGAAATTCATTTCAACGGGAATAACTTCAAGGAAAAATAAATTTTATATCCATTTTAATAAATTCAACAGCTAACAGGGTTCAATATATAATTATAGACAAAAACAAGTGTCGAAGAAAACAAAACTCGTAATGCACACTTATTTTTTATGTTATATTTGTTTGTTTAAATACAAGAAGGGAACACTACATACGCATGTTGTCTCACAATACTTATTAATGAACTCATTTAACTCAGTTTACGCAAATGTGCCCGAAATTTAAATTTTAAACCTTTAAATCAGAATATTTTATGTAGACAGAAATTATATTTATTTATAGGATATTTTTGTTTCTACGTTTGCAGTTAGCCTAAAATATAAAAACAATAAAGATGTACATTAATTGAACTGTATTATTATATGGCTTGTATATTTCGCACAAAGCAAAAGATGCATGGCAACACTGTTTTGAACTCGCTCTAAAATCATGCTTTGTTTATTCGGCTTTAGAACTCAAATTAAAGACCCAGAGAAGCAGAGAGCAAGATACGAAAAAAGCGACTGCGCTGTTCACTCTCGCTCGCCATTTCAGCCAAAAATTCGACTCTTGCGTTGAGCTTCTGTTTTTCAATGCAGGAAAAAATTACCACCAACGCTTTGCAAAATCCACCCATTTACAACATTGTTACATACATATGTATATGCAATCGTATGTATGCATGCATATGTGCGTGTTAAGAGAGATGAGCGCCTTCAGTGTTACCTTCGCTGATGTCAACAGCGCACAGCAGGGAAAAACTAGTTTTAAGTCTTGCGATTTTTGCGTGCAATTTTCCTTGTAGATTCGTCGGCGAAAGACTCGTAAAATAAGGAAAAAGGCAGGCAGGTAACAGCAGCACGATAGCAATATTTCGCATTTGAGTTGGGACGGCAATTTAGTGTTGGTAAACATTGAATTATGGCTTGCGCTAGAGTTACGAAATTTGCGGAAAATGATGTACATACATACTTGTAAAATTCAAATATCCCCACAATCATAAAGAAATCATATTACCACCGAATTTGTGGTGCTTAAGCGACATGTGTACACACTTTGTTTTTTAACATTTTGGACACACTGGGCAGCAAGTGCACTGTCTCATTTTTTGTGTTTAACAAGGTATATTTAGGTGTGCACAAACTTAAAAAAATCATCGTTGATATGTTAAGCTTTCCGAAAAGTATAAACAAAAGTAAAGCAAGCGAGTACTTATAAGTACTTATGTATGTATGAATGGGGGCTACAGTGACAGCTCTATGTACATACATACGTAGATTAAAATACGAATTATACTAATAATAACAAAATATACCTTTTATGCATGAACTTCAAAGCACGACGATCCATTATTTAAAAAAAAAAGAGTTTTTATAATAAATTAAAAGTTTGCATGCGACGGCGTCACTGGCAGCGGCAGTAGCGTTTTGTTGAGTGCTCTTACTGCGGCGGCTGCTGGGCTTGTTGTTTTTGTTGATGGAAGCATATTGCTTCTGTGCGTTTCGAGTTCTTTTTTATGTATATATCAATTTTTGTTTTTACTGTTACATATATACATATGCATGTACATTTAGAAATCACAGCATAGACACACAAAATAAGGGTACAGGCAATAAACTGCACATACATACATACATACATATAAGCAGGCATACATACATATAACTTTGTTGCAACCAAAACATATAAAAAAAACTAATATACACGAAATAGTCTCAACGACTATCAGTCGGTCCGTGTGTCTGCCATAGTGTATTTGTATGTTTTTAAATGTTCGTGTGTGTATGTTGGCTGTGTCTGAGGCGTGTAAATGAATGTTTCGTGCACGAGCAATAATTAGTACATACTCCACTCGCTGCGGTGCCTGCGACAGCTACAACGGCGAAGGCTGCTCTCAATATCAAATATTTATTACAGTGCGATTTTATATTACGAAATGTACTTATTTTTTGTGCAAAGGCCAAGCATCTGTACAGAAGATGCCAGCGACGGCAGTGAAATTAATGTCGACGCCAATTGCGACGGACTCAGCTTATAGAAATAGGGACAACGGCTGAGGCTTGTGCGCTTTGTAACGCAACAACGCCAAAAATTTTTTGTTAGACAGCATATATGTATACACATTTACACACACATTCGCGTATATTAATGACTAAAGTGGCGTCGTCTATATCGACAGCGACGCCTACAGCATAGGTTTTGACGTTGCGACATTGCCGAGTTTGTTATTAAACATTTAAATTAATGCACAACGCAGTTTTCGCGATTTTGCATCTAACAGCAATAAAAAAAAGTTAACAAAATATAAAAACAAACTTTAGATTTGTATTAATTGAATAGTCTGCTATGCTTGTGTGCGTATCCGCGTTTTTTGTTTCCGATGTATCTTCTGTATACGGACTCACGATACCTACGCGCGAGCAGACAACCTAATGCAGGCAAGTAAAATTTAATACTGAAGTGCGCAAGACGGCGGCAACTCTGAATGCTCAAACTGAACGCCGCAGTCAACGCTTAAACAAAATGAAGCGAGGTACATGTATTGGTGTGGGCCAACGTCTGCTTTTATATGTATTGACTGTGTGTGTGCGTGCGAGGGTTGATTGCCACCGTCAAGCAAGCAGCTGAACAAGTAAAACCGGTTTCCCACTCTCACTGCACATCTACAAAAATTTTCTCTATAACAAAACCATGTGTGCGAATGCAATAGCTTATTGTTCAATGAGTGCGAGTGCAAAGGGAAATCGTGCACATGCGCCCCTTGTTGCTCGCAGCGCATGGGGTGTGTGTGAACGAAAGGAAAAATATTAAACAGAAAACTAAAAATCGAGACTACAGCGGACGGTCATGTACATTGTATTTGCTTTTGCGTGTTGGCAAAAACAACCACCACTCCACCGCCGTCGACACTCTGCTACTGTCATAATGTATGTTGGTATGGTCTCAAGCTAGCGACCAGTTTTCTGTCTATACACTTAATTGTTGTTCTTGTGGGTTTCAATACTTCATCTTCTTTTTTGGAATTTGCCAGTTACCCACCACCATCATCGTGAATACACTACCAGTACCTGAGTGTTGGTCACATGTATTCGATGTGTACGTTTCTTGAATAGAAGGCGGCTTTATTTTATTATTAGGTTCAGTTGTCGGTGTCGGTCGCACACATGTATAAGGGTTCAGTATAGAGCCGGGGGCGACGGTGTAGCCCTGCGCAGGACAGTGGTGTGAATTCCATTTTTATTTGAATTAATTTTTAATTTACTTATAGCATACATCCTTCATCGTTTGATATAAAACGTATGTATATATATATATATATATATATATATATGGAAAAAATGGAATGGCAAATTACAGTGGTTCATACGGCATATATGATATATATATACATGAAACCAAAAATATGCCGTATGAACCACTGTAATTTGCCATTCCATTTTTTATTTTCTTGCTGCCTCTTTCTCAACTTGCGAGTGTGTGTGTGAATGCGCTGCTTTGTGTTGTTTGCTGGCTTCGTTTCTCTCGCCGCATTGCCTGGTGATCATCACTATACGCCCGTGCTTGTTGTTTTTGGCAGTGCCAGGCGAGTCGACCCAGTGCTGCCATAATATGTTGAGCACAAACGGCTACATTGCAAAAAAAATAATTAAAGCTAAAAAAGCAAGATCCAAGGCAAATGAAGCTAAAAACAAAACGGTTTTAAAAGCCCTATTTTCTGGGTTAAATTAAAAAAAATATCTGTTTTACCATTTTAATATTAATTCTATATTCTTATTTTATAATTTATAATAATGAGATTCTGGTGAAAATAATAATAGTCACATTAAACTCAAGCTAAAAATTTTAAATTCTATAGTTGAATTATGAGTTCATCTAAGCTCGCTGCCCCTTCGTCAGGATAATAAACGAGGTTGCTTACTGCTCGACACCAAGTCCACCTGGCTGAAAACCCGCTTCACTTCTACGTTTGATGACGGTGACGACATGAAACTTCAATCTAACCTTGCGAACACTTTGTTTATACACTTTAGACATTTCTTAACGCAGCAAAGACAAACCTAAAAATAATAATTAATAAAGAAAAACAGCTTATACTCGAGCCTCGAGGAGATTTTGATAGATTTTATTATCCACAGTCGTATATAAATACTTATATGTATATGTAGTGAGAAATAACGTAAAGCTAGAAAAAGGATTAATGCATTTTTTTTAAAGCTAGAATTCCCGCAACCCGCTATTTTCGGATTTTTCCGCACTGGCATTCAAAAAAAGCCAGATCTAGCGGTCAAAAAGCTAAAATGGCAGCACTGAGTCGACTGAACAAACACAAATACAAAACACTTTCGACTTGATTCTTTCGTTTAGTTGCCGTAGCCGCCATATTATATTTCCGCCTGTTAGTCGACTTTTCCGTCTTCTTCCATCTGCAGACTCCTATTTGCGATGTAATTGTGCCAGTGTTGCTGGTGTATCTGTGTGAGCGTTCGTATGCTTTTTATGGCGGCTCCAACTTAAAGTTTTGGTGACCACAGTTTTTTTTTTTTTAACTTTCAATCGTACAAAAGGCCACTAAGTAGCGGGGCATGCGCTGTATGAGATTGCTTGAAATATTTGCTTGTAGCACGTTGGGCTGGTTTCTTTTGTTGTAGCTGGCATTGATTAATAGTTAGTATAGGAGGGTGTGAGAGGTGAACAACTGCCTGTCAATGCAGTGTGAGCGAGCGCACGAATATGTGCCTCTTTATGATTACCTACATATGTATGTATGTTTGTAAGTATAAATATAGACTTATCGCATTGTACATATAAAGATAAATTCATACATACAAATGAATGCGAGGTTACCGCTGAGCAACATAAGCATATGTGCATACATAGGTTTTGTTATTGTGCTCGTGCAAGTGTGTTTTCACACATACATGGTACGTTAGCGCATGCTTTCTTTCATTGCCGGTCTTCCTCTCTCACTCACAAGCAGTGCTGTCATTTTAGCTTTTTCCCGCTATATCTGGCTTTTTCTGAATGCCAGTGCTGAAAAATTCGAAAATAGCGGGTTGCGGGAACTCTAACTTGAAAAAATTTTTTTAGCCTTTTTCTAGCTTTACTTTATTTTTCACCATATATTTTTTTGTTTAACTTTGTCAACACTTAACATCATGGGCAACGGATGTGGACGGTATGGACGAATTTATGTAGCGGAGAATCTGGATACTAACTTTGGTTATTCTAGCTTTTATAGCTTCTGAGATCCTTGCGTCCATCCAGACGGACGGACAGACGGACGGACATGTCTAGATCGATTTCTCTCGTCATGGTGATTCAGAATATATATACTTTATGGGGTCGGAGATGCTTCCTTCTGCATGTTACATAATTTGCACAAACCTAATATACCCCTATTACTCTACGGGTACAGGGTATAAAAAAATTATCCTGACGAAGAGGCAGTGAGTTTAGATGAACAACTGTAGAATTTTTAGCTTGATTTTAATGTGAATTTTCTATTATTATTTTTACAAGAATCTCATATTATTATTATAAATTATGAATTAAGAATATAGAATTAATATGATAATATTAAAACAGATATTTCCTTTAATTTAACCAAGAAATTGGATTTAGCTTTTTTAGCTTTATTTTTTCGCAATCTAGCTGTTTTTGCTCAAAAAATTATGACAGCACTGTTCACAAGTTGTGTCGTTTTTCTTGCTTGCTGCTGCTGTAATTGCCTTACACACACATGCATCCGTACATATGTATGTATATACACATGCACTAGAACTACACTGCTAGTGATTTTTTCAAAATTCCTACATATCATATTTATACACTGTACAAAAAAATAGTATTACAAATGAATATCTTCATATTCAATTCATTGTTATAATATTTCATAATATCAATTAGTTATTATAAAAAACCAACAAAAAACCCAAAATTATTTAATAATAAATAGAATTATCTATTAAATATTCCAAACAGTGGAAGTCTTTGTCGTTAAAGTGTTTCACATTCAATGTAATGTTAAACTATATTCAATTTTTATATGCATCGGCTTCAAATAACAAATAGTTATATTTTCGTTATTCCATATAAAATTTTAGGTTAACCGGTACCCAAAGGGTAAAAGGCTAAACTAGTTTTGCGCGAATGTATGTAACAGGCAGAAGGAGGCGTAGCAGACCCCACAAAGTTTTGGATGACAAGATGAGTTGTTATAGCCATGTCCGTCCGTCTGTCTGTATGAACGCAAGGATTTCAGAATAAATAAGAGCTAGAATAACCAAACTTGGTATCCAGATTCTCCTAATCCCGAGAAAGTACGAGTTGGAATTTTATCGATGCACCACCCCACTCCCCCGCAAATCGTGTTTTCCATAACTCCCGTAATTTTGAAATTGGAATTTTTAACTCAAATTTGGCTTCTATATCCAGTTAGTGATCATGTGTCCGTATGTTAAGTTTCATCATGATTAGTCAATTCTAAAGAAAGTTGTACCCATAAATAATCGTTGCCCATGCGCTGCCTGCAGCTCTGCCCTCAGCTGTTGTTGTTGCTGCTTTGGTTAAACTTTGTGCTGCATACATACACGCATATAAACACGCAGAGACATGATTCTATGTATGTATGTAAATGTATGAAAACATGTCTCCACTTTTATATATGGGCAATTCCACAGAAAAGTCCACCATGAGCGAAAAATTAAAAGATAACTAATATTTGTTCTTTACTTGTTATTTAAGGAGAAATATTAAAATTTTATTAAATTTAAGAGTTCCAAGCTTTACCTATTTGCAATGGTGAAATATAGACCTACAAAGTTCAAGTTCAGGTTTTGGTCAGCTTCGTATATTTTAAGAGCACTTTATCTTTTCCATTTACGATTCTAAGAGTTATTGTGCAACTGCGCTTTTTAGGCAAAAAGCTAGTTACAATAACAACAACAAACCTTCGAATAAATACCAATATCAATTAACGGTAAAATTGTTGATTTGCTTTTACCCATTTTCTAATGTAACGTCACGTCAGAAACATATCACTTATTGTCATTATCTCTACGCTGATGAAGGTTTATTAGTTGTAATAAAAATATCAGCAATTTAACAAATAGTTATTTTTATTTTGATTTTCAAAAGTGTGTAACGTCACGTCAGTTGGTGAATAATTACATTGCATAGTATTTTGTTTATTTTCAATTTAATTTCAATTGTGGCAGGTGGAAACATCAAATAAAATTAAAATATTTAAACATGAGTTCATTGCACGAAGATTTCCTGATTTTGCTTCTAATTTTTTTTTTTGCAAGGTTTTTGGCTGGAATTATTTTTTAACTTTTCACGGCAAAAGTGCGTTCAAATGGGTAAAACTCATT